ATAGTTGCCATTTTTCGACTCCTGTCTTAAAGAACTGTCATTTTCTATTAAATAAATCGCTAAAATTATATAAAAACTAAAGATATTCAGTTAAATTTTCAGCTTTTGCCACGTGGCTTCTCGGAAAAAATGAGAATATTCAAGAAAAACTTGCCAATGAACTGAAAACCCTTCCCGATCATCAAAAAACGAATGACTACTATGATCAGGTCGACTTTTTACAAATCAAATCAAATCAAACCAATTCAATTACCAAATCCTTATCTTCAGGTGATGACTCTACCCTATCTAAACGCCGTCTACAAAGAGGCGCTCCGACTCTACCCGCCGATCACATTGTGAGTCGAAAATCGGAATACTGTACATAGTCGCGAGATTTTTATCAAAGAATCAACCATTCTGGATGTCACACTGTAGCTTCGGTCTTTTAAATCACCCTAAATAGCCTATTAAGTGTCTCCGAATGTTCATTTTTCTTCTTGGCAACATTCTTTGAATACCGTAAACCCTGAAGATTTGTAATCAAAAAATTTCAGCATTCTGGATGTCACACTGTAGCCAATTTACCTATATAACCTCCAATTTCAGTTTCGTCAATCGAACCTGTGTTGCCGAGTGCGAGGTGGGCGGTGTGCGGTACGAGAAAGGCACCCAGGTCAGCTAGATTCTCCAAATTTTCAAATTCTCCAAATTCGAACACAGCACGAGCTAGGAAAGCAAAAATCTATCTAAAAATATCGTAGACAGTCGACCGTACTATAAAGCCTCGTTTCAGGTGGGCATCCCGATTTGGAATGTGCACCGAAATGCTGAATTCTGGCCTGAGCCCGACGAGTTTCGTCCGGAAAGGTTGGCTCGCCTGTACAGCTTCTTCTTGCCAAATCTTGAGCACAACTGAAATTTGCATTTAACTTTTGTGTCGATTTATGATTCGATTTCTAGCTAGACTAATCCCGTGCTTTCCAGGATTTACATTTAAGCTTTCTTGCCTTCATCAGAGTTGAATGAAGCCAAGGATTTGGGTCAGCTTCTATAATCTGGCTCTGGTCCTTCCTTCCTTCCTTCTGTCCTTCCTTCCTTCCTTCCTTCTTTCTCCTCCTTCCTTCTTTCCCTTCCTTCTTTCCTTCCTTCCTTCCTTCTTCTTCCTTCCTTTCTTTTTCTCTTCCTTCCTTCCTTCCTTCCTTCCTTCTTTCTTTCTTTCTTCCTTCCTTCCTTCCTTCCTTCCTTTCCTTCTTTCCTTCTTTCCTTCCTTTCCTTTCCTTCCTTCCTTCTTTCCTTCCTTCTTCCTTCCCTCCTTCCCCTCCCTTCCTTCCTTCTTTCCTTCCTTTCCTTCTTTCCTTCTTTCCTTCCTTCCCTTCCTTCCTTCCCTTCTTTCCTTCCTTTCCTTCCTTCCTTCTCCTTCCCTTCCTTCCTTCCTTCTTTCCTTCCCTCCCTTCCTTCCTTCCCTTCTTCCTTCCTTCTTTCCTTCCTTCCTTCCTTCTTCCTCCTCTTTTCCTTCCTTCCTTCTTCCCTCCTTCTTTCCTTCCCTCCTTCCTTCCTTCTTCTTTCCTCCCTTCCTTCCTTCCTTCCTTTTTCCCTCCTCCTTCTTCCTTCCTTTCCTTCTTTCCTTCCTTCCCTTCTTCCTTCCCTTCCTTCTTTCCTTCCTTCCCTTCTTCCCTTCCTTCCTTCCTCCCTTCCCTCCTTCTTCTCTTCCCTCCTTCTTCTCCCCTTCCTTCCTCCTTCCTTCCTTCCTTCCTTCCTCCTTCCTTCCCTTCCCTTCCTTCCTTCTCTTCCTTTCCTTCCCTTCTTCCTTCCCTCCTTCTTTTTCCTTCCCTTTCCTTCCCTTCAACTTCTTCCTTCCTTTCTTCCTTCCTCCATCTCTTCCTTTTCTTCTTCCTTCCTTCTATCCTTCCTTCCTTCCTTCCTTCTTATCCTTCCTTCCTTCCTTCTTCCTTTTCCAGATTCCTCCTTCTCCTTTCCTTCCTTCTATCCTTCCTTCCTCCTTCCTTCTTTCCTTCCTTCCTTCCTTCCTTCCTTCCCTCCTTTCCTTCCTTTCTCTTTCCCTTCCTTCCTTCCTTCCTTCCTTCATTCTTTCCTTCCTTCTCCTTCTTCTTTCCTCCTTCTTCCCTCCTTCCTTCCTCCCATTATCCTTCTTCCTTCCTTCCTTCTTCCTCTTCCACTCTTCCTTCCTTCCCTCCTTCCTTCCCTCTTCTCCTTCCTCTTCCTTCCTTCCTTCCTTCTTCCTTCCTTCTTCCCTTTCCTTCCTTCCTTCCTTCCTTTCTTCCTTCTTCCTTCCTTCCCCTTCCTTCCTCTCTTTTCTTCCTTCCTTCCTCCTCCTCTCTTCCTCTTTCTCTCCTTCCCTTCCTTCCTTCCTTCCTCCATCCTCTTCCTTCTCTTCCTTCCTCCTTCCTTCTTCCTTCCTCCTTCCTTCCTTCTCTCTTTCCTTCCTCTTCCTTCCTCTCCGTTCCTTCCTTCTTCTTCCTTCCTTCCTTCCTTCCTTTCTTCCTTCCATTCCTTCCTTCTTCTTCCTTCCTTCTTCCTTCTTCCTTTCCTTCCTTCCTCCATCTTCTTCTTCCTCTTCTTCTTCTTCCTTCCTTCTTTCCTTCCTCCGATCTCTTCCTTCTTCCTCTTTCCTTCCTCCTTCCTTCCTTCCTCCATTTTTTCTTCTTCTTTCCTTCCTTCCTTCCTTCCTTCCTTCCAGATTCCTCTTCTTCCTTCTTCTTTCTTCCTTCCTTCCTCCGTGATTCCATTCCTTCCTTCTCCTTTTTTTCCTTCCTTCCTTCCTTCCTTCCTCCATTCTTCCTTTTTCTTTTCTTTCTTCCTTCCTTCCTTCCTTCCTTCTGACTCCTTTTTTCTCTTTCCTTCCTTCCTTCCTTCCTTCCTTTTTCCATTCCTTCCTTCTCTTTCCTTCCTTCCTTCCTTCCATCCTTTCCTTCCTTCCTCCTTCCTTCCTTCCTTCCTTCCCTCCATCCTCTTCCTTTTTTCCTCTTTCCTTCCTTCCTTCCTCTCCTTCCATTTCCTTCCTTCTCTTCTTTCCTTCCTTCCTTCCTTCCTTCCTTCCTTCCATCCCCTTCCTTTCTTCTTTTTCTTCCTTCCTCCTCTTCCTTTCCCTCTCCTCCGATTCCTTCCTTCTCTTCCTTCCTTCTTTCCTTCCTCCATCTCCTTCCTTCTTTTTCTTCCTTCCTTCCTTCCTCCTTCCTCCATCTCTTCCTTCCTTCTTCTTTCCTTCCTTCCTTCCCTCCATTCCTTTCCTTTCTTCTTCTTCCTTCCTTCCTTCCTTCCTTCCTCTTCCTTCCTCCATTCCTTCCTTCTTTCTCTTCTTCCTTCCTCTCTCTTCCTCCATCTTTCTTCCTTTCTTCTTCCTCTTCCTTCCTTCCTTCCTTCCTCCATTTCTTCCTTTCTTCTTCCTTCCTTCCTTCCTTCCTTCCTTCCTCCGACTCCTTTCTTTTTCTTTCCTTCTTTCCTTCCTCTCTTCCCTTCCTCTTTCCATTCCTCTTCCTTCTTCCTTCCTTCCTTCCTTCCTTCCTTCCATTCCTTCCTTCCTTCCTTCATTCTTTCCTTCCTCCATTCCTTCCCTTCTTTCCTCCCTTCCTCCTTCCTTCCTTCCTCCATCTTTCCTTCTTCTTTCCTTCCTTCCTTCCTTCCTTCCTTCCTCCCTTCCTTCTTCTTCTTTTCTTCCTTCTTTCCTTTCCTCCTTCCTTTCAATCCTAAATTATGATTAAAGATGAAAGTGAACTTTCCAGATTCCTGTCGGGAAACCGCAAACGCCATATGCGTAGCTACCGTTTGGGTGGGTCCTCGAGGCTGTGTGGGCAACGATTCGCCGAATGGAATTCAAGGTTTGCATTCTATTTTATTTTCTACACTGCCATCCACGATGATCATATGGTGAGTTGTAACTTCTAAATGATGATTCTAAATGGAAATTCGCTTAGGATCATAGTTTCTGCTTGGAGACTTTTTCTGCTGTACCGTAAGGGAGGAGGCTTAGAGTCGATAGTCAATCGAGGGTGTAGCTTTCATTTTTCAGATCGTTTTGGAGAGAACGTTGAGCAGATTTCAGAGTGTGTTGAGTCCAGAAATTCCGGGTGAATCACTAAAAAAGCTCACCTAAAAAGCTTTAGAACTCTAGGAAATTCGAAAAGAAATCGAATCGATTCTATTGTTGGTTAAAGTTTCTATTTCATATACGATCAATGATTCGACCTATTGGAACCGTATTGATCAAAATATAGCGTATTGGAACCGTAGGTACCGTATTAGAACCGTAGATGAAAACTGTACTGGAACCGTATTAGATCAAAATAGGGAACTGTATTGGAACCGTATTAGAGCCGTATACCATATTAGAACTATATTGAACCATTTTTGAACCATATTTGACCCAAATTCCTGAAGGAAACCTATTGGAACCATCTTGGAACCATATTGGACCCAAAGGATTCCTGGAAGGAACAATATTGGAACCATCTTGGAACCATATATGGACCCAAATTCCTGGAAGGAACAATATTGGAACCATCTTGGAACCATATTAGAACCATATTGGCTTTTCTGTGGATGAATTCCTGCAACTTTTAGGCTTTTTTCATTCTCATTTCATTTAGATTTCATTTCCCAGGATCATTGTTCCCGTAAACAAATGAGAAATAATAAATGGAAATTCTAGGATCGTCTTGAGTTGAGCAATCCAACCGCGATGCTTTCCACTCCAAAAATTTCGATCGTAATCAAATCAGAGATTCGTAATTTTTACATTATTTTTCATATCAATGACTTCCACAATCTGATTTCCAAATCATTAAACATGTTAATCTTTTCTCAAAAACTCCGAATTTTCTTTGTCAATCTCGGTCTAGAGCTTTCTTTACAATCCTTTACGATGTTCTCTTCCAAAAAATGATCTCTCAATTTGTATTTCTTTTATTTTTTTGATCTGTTTCTTTTCTTTGCCTTTTTTTCTTTTATTTAAATAAAGATATGCAACAAAACCCATATAAAGAATCACATTTTCAAAAAACAAACTTTTCCGCATGAAATTCAATTCTAAAAAGCAATGACCTCGAAGGACGAAAAAAAGCTTAGTCATGACAGAATTATTCTCAACTTTCACCGGAAATCACTCAAAATCCTGACCGCTTCGGGTCGACAACACTCCGCAACTCCCAACGCCAACCCCAAACCGCTAAGCTCTTTGTTTCTCATCTCTAAGTCTAAAATGCGTTCCATAGTGCCCGAAAAACGTTTGTTACACTTTTTCAGGAAATCTCTGATCTGCTGAAAATCTCTGAAAGTCGATCTCGACTGCGACTCGACCAGCTGACTCTTTCTTTGCCAATCCCATTGATTTAAATGCTTTCTAAATATTAATTCCAACTTTTACAGAGCTTTTACAGAGAACAGAACAGCTTTCCCTTTCATCCTGGAACACAGCTTTGAGTTTTTTTTGACGATTTTGAGGATTGATCGTTTCGACTGTAATAATCATTTTCAGATTGCGCAAACATTTTCCCAGGGTTTCCCTGAAAGGCATCACATCCTTTCCCAGCTTTCCCAGCTTTCCCCACCTTTCCCCCACCTTTCCTCAGCTTCTCTCTTCCCCCCAACTCTTCCAGTCGTGTCTCAAGCTTGGACCCCCTGGACAAGACTGTCCCCATTTACTTCTTGAGAGCCACCCCCAGCCCGGCAAACAATCACTCATTTGAGGCCAGCTGGATCGCACGCTAGCTAAAAATGCTTAAAATTTGACGCTAATTTTGTTTTATCACTTTTATGCTTTTTTTATGACTGCATAATCAGCATAAATATTCAGATCAAATTTTTTATTGAAATTTCATTCTCAAATTTGTTCAAACTCGAGTTCAGCTAGGGTTATGGATTCTTTTCTGATTACTTTTCATCGCTTTTAATCGAATT